GTCTTGGTTTTGCAATACAAACGATTCTGCTTCTGTGGGGATTTTTTTTAATCATCTCTTACCTTTTTGGTATCATGATAGCTAGATCAGTAAAACAAAAAATTGGGGAAATATCATTTCTATCAATTCAGCTGCCATATTGGTATTTTGCCTTTGTTAAGGCAAACTACAAGTTCCTCAATCTGTCATATTATTCTACCTATAAATATGCTGACATTCTTCTATGGATGCTGTTGACCACTCTCCTTTTAAATACCTTATACAAATCAGGAGGTGTAGGTAGCTTTAGGTGGTGGTTCCTTTTGTCTTTGCCAAATTACGAACCAGATAGGAGCGCATTTTCCCCCCATATGGCTTAATATACTTTATAATATTACTTTTTTTTTTAAGTATTTATTTATCTATTTATTTGACAGAGATCACAAGTAGGCAGAGAGGCAGGCAGGGGGGTGGGGAGCAGACTCCCTGCAGAGCAGAGAGCACAATGGATGTGGGGCTCCATCCCAGGATGCTGGGATCATGACCTGAACCAAAGGCAGAGGCTTTAGCCCCCTGAGCCACCCAGGTACCCCTATAATATTACTTTTAATAAAGTTAATGTGGGGGGCTCTTCATGGAATAGCCTAGTCTTCATATTAAATTCATCTGGTATCCATCATCTCTATGTAAATATCTCTGAAATCCAGTAAAGACTTCCCTCTCTCATTCAGTCTTGGGTCTCCTACCATCAACTTCCCACCAGACGTATCTTACACCTCTACAAGCCTTTAAATCACTATTAAATCACTTTAATACCCAAAATCCCAAGATAGTCATTTAATCTCATTCCTGAGCAACTCAGATCCCAAAATCTTGATTTCTATCAATATTGCCATCTTTCATCTACATGTATAACTATATACTCATTCATTTGTGATAGACACATTTTATTTATTATCTCCTGAATCCACTCATCTCCCAATCTTGTCAGTATTTCTCAGTGATACCAAGTTAAGAAAGTATGAGGGGCAGATTCATCCTAAGAAAAATCCACTTTGCACATGTGTTACCTATCCTAAAGCTTCAGGTGACTTTCTGATTAATGTGAGTTGAACTACTGGGGCCCCTAGGTGATGCAGTCATTTGAGCGTCTGACTCTTAATTTTTAGCTCAGGTCCTGATCTCAGGGAACTGGAATGGTGGGATCCAGCATCCGCCATTCCCCGCCACCAATTCCAAGTTCAGTGGAGAGTCAGCTTGGGGATTTCTCTTCCTTCCCCTCTGCTCCTCCCCTCACCTCAGGCAAAATTAATTAATTAATTAATCTTTAAAAAAATATATGAGTTGAACTGCTGTTTTGGCCTAGTACTCCCTTACCATCCAGTTTCATTCCCCTTTATTCATAATTTCAAACCTTGTTCTGTCTCTCACCTCCAACTACCACCCTGAACTAATCAGACCCAGAGCCACACCCAGGATGTTGGTACCATCTGAGTGTTTACCCATAATGTTAAGTTCACACCCACCCCTCACTATTCCTTACCTATCACAATCTTCTCTGTCATTTAAATCTAACTTTAAGCCCTTCAGTTCAGTAGGTGATTGTCATGCCCCCCCCCAACCAGCCCACCCAATCTTTATTTCATTTTCAGGTATGCTTCCTCTTTTCCCAATTTGATTTGCCTATCTTGTTTAATTCTTGAGGTAAAAAACCATTATTTTGATTGCTTTGGTATTCTCCAGTGTGCCCTGTACAATTCTAGGAGCTCAAGAAATACTTGCTAATTTTAAAAATAAAGAGAATTGAACTAATTGCTTTCTTGGCCTGGAGTTGGTTATAACATGTTGGGAAAAATCTTGTGTTTAATCTCCATCTCTTCTCATGTGTTTATGTACTGTTTTATAGCCAGGAATCAAAGGCAGCATATCACAGTCCTGACTGTGATTCAGAGGCTCCTCTGCTGGGCAGTTTACAGAATTAAAACTCACACCAGCTTTTCAACGAATGAACGGGCTCTCCCTTGAGGAAGTTGTGGGGGAGGTGGGGGAGGTGAGGCAAAACGCCTCAGGCTTTGAAAGTGGAACTGGTGTGAGTTCCATTATGCAAGAATGGAAGCTTGTCTCCCCCACCCAACCACCACCCCACCCCAAATAAAAAGCTTGCCATGAGACTATCGCCCAAGAATGCATAAATATCAGCAGAAATTTAGGAGGTTTTTCCTAGAAAACTATTGGAAACTTAAAAAGCCAGTCAGCCAAGGTGTGTGTTTGGTAGATTCCTCTGGACAGTACCTGCCTCTACATAAAGACTTATATTGGGGAAGGGGACTAATGGGACTTTCTCCTGCTCACATCTGGCACGTTATTGACAGACGACCCCGAAGTTTCACACTGTGTGTTTTTGGCACGTTGTCCTCTCCTAGGGCAGTTTTCTCCCAGCGAACACCTAATAAAGGTGTTAACCTAGAAGCTGCCATAGGGAGTCCTGCAAAACGGAAGAGGGCAGGTTCCAGTCAAATGAACAGAGTGTCCATTAGCCCAGCTGTGTGCTGGCCCTGGGACAGATCACTAGGGGACAGCTTCACAGTCAGCCCCACTGAGCCAGCAGCCGTGGAAGCGGAACTTAGTTTTGGATGAAGCGGTGAGCTCTTCCTGAATCCCACTCCAGCTCTCCATCCTTTTCTCTGCTCCCTAATTGGAGCTCGAGTTGGGGCAGTTTGCGATGCTCTCTGTGGTGACTGGTTCTCAGCTCCTCTGTGGGAGAATGGCAGTTTTAAATACCTTCTTTTTTGGCTGTGGGAGTGTGAAATAGATTTCTGGTTGACTTCGCTTGAAGATTCTGATTTGTTTGTTTCATTGTAAGAGATAGATGGCGTGCTTTGGAGCTAGCTTGTGATCATTTGGAAGAGTTGTGAAGTTCATTTGCAGACAGCAGCCTTCGAAAGTTTGGGCATGGGAGGGAGGCAACTACTATCCATCTGAAGCAAAATTCACTCGTGTCGGGCATCTGCCAAGTATCTTTGAAATATTTGAAGAGGCAACTTCCAACCCAGAGAAAGCAGCCTTCTGAGCAATGCAAACGTATTTATATCTTTATTCAGTTGGGAGGCCAAAAATCCTGCCTGGGAATTCAAATTCCTTTACGACCTTGATATCCAGAGAGCACGTGCCAACGGAGGTTTCTCTACCTAAGTGCACTGGGCGATTGCTAGTAAAACTAACACTATGTATACAGCCCAATTCCTCCATGCTTTTCCTACTTTAAAAAATATATATATATTTTAAAAATAAATTTTAGAAGGAAATATCCAGTTACCAACAGGATGGCATTTTCAGCCTTTAGCATATTTATTTTTAGCCTCTTTACATATTTCTTCGGGAAGCGTCAAGCTTGGATTACACAGCCTCTTCACCTATAAAGGATCTAAGGAGAGATGCTCTGAGGTTCACATTTGCAAAGTTGATGAGGATGCAAGGCCATTAGCTCAGAGGAATTTGAAACATGGATGTTACAATAACCGGAACCCACATTTGCGTGAGCTCTCGTAATCGGCCGGGTGTGTGCCTGTGCAGTGTCCCGCTCAGTTCTGCCCGTGACCCCAGCAGCACTGTTTGAGGCCGTTCCTTACACACTCAGCACACACGTGCATGTTCAGACACAGGGAGATGCTCAGTTTTTGCAGAGGTGGGTATTCTTAGACATTTTCAAGAACATAAAATCACATGGAACAACAACAACAACAAAAAATGATGGGCCCTCCGCTCTCTGGAAATGAAAATATGGAAACATCACCTTTGATGCCTGTTCAGAATTACCAAGGACCACACCGTTCACTCCAGTACCCATGAGAGCAAGTGTTCTTATTCATCATTTTAGCCTGATTAGGGGTAACGAGAAGGGCTGTTTCGTTATTGTCAAGGATGTACAATAGTGAAAATGAAGCCAGAGGGAGGCCCTGGTGGAGAGCCCAGGGTGATGTTCAGGTGTGCCCGAGCGATGAGGAAGTCATGTAATGTTATGGAAATCGTGCGGCTGAGCTTGAAAGGGGCTGGCATTGGTTGTCAGAGGTAGCCGCAGCCCAAAGGACAGTGTGCTAAGTTCATTTTAAACCAGCCCAGGCTTGTCTCTTCAGAGATCTAGAAGTGGACACCTGGATTATTGGTTCCAAGGAAGCTTATTTCCTCCAGGTGATGGTGTGTGCTGGCCGAGGCATATCTCCCCTGTTCATCAAACTGTAGGGATCCAGGGGTGGCCACACTTGCGATCCCAAATAGCTAGCAAGGCTACGAACCGACCTTTCTTTGAGTCTGGGGTGGTCATGTTCCTGGGCCTTTCAGAGACCACTCTCCTCCTAGAACAGAGAACCCAGGACACCAGGTGTCCTGAGGAGGCCACCTAGGCAGCACTGATGCTTCCGAGTATGTTGCTTCTCGTCTTCTCCTTTCTGCTGTCTTCTAGCTAAACCGTCCCGTGATGGCTTGTCAGTGCAGGCTTCCGACGAGTAGTGGAGCTCTTTCATCCACTGGGAAACGCACTGGAGAAGCCTTATTATTACAAATGCGTTCTTGTGTTTTTCCTTTTATGGCTTGTCCGGCTCAAGGCCCTGTGCTTGGTGATACTGCTGACGAGTTTTTCTATTTCCAGATCTAGTTAAAGTGAAGCCGCCCTGGCCCTGTTATTGAAGAAGCAGTTGTGTGTGTTGGGGGCGGGGGAGTGGGGGGGGTTCCTTTGTGGTGAGGTGGTTCTAGGGCTATGGGCCAGGGTGTGAAAATCTCTATAGTGTCCATGCTGTTTCCTAATGCAAGCTCCCATGGAAGTGGAATTTATTATAAACCTACTGTTTGCCCTCATGAGAAGTATAGCAGGATGAGACTCGGGGCAACCAAAGACGTACCAGGACTCCCTCAAGAACTGGCATGCACGTCAGCTCATTCATGGTTCAGCTAGTTTTTAAATAGTGTGCGGCGATGATGGTCTGCTTTTAGTTGGCTGTGTCTGATTCTTTTTCGTGTGCTTGCAGGTCCTACAGGTATGGATCTCTGGCAGGTGCTGTTGACCTTGGCAGTGGCAGGCTCGGGCAATGCTGTTTCTGGGAGTGAAGGTGAGTTCTGCTTTCCCATTCTCGCCCCCTGTGTTTTGAAATAACACTGAACGTTACTTGTTAAATGTAAGTTCTTTGGATGATTTAATTAAATGGGGTAAGTTTTAAGTAACAGCAAATGGGAAACTTGTCTTAGCTTTAAAATCATAAGCTAGGAGGACTTTCCCATGGATGTTTTAAGAGGAATACAATTTCAGCATCTGATGTTTGCACATAAAAAATAAATGCTGCAAACCATGCCGAGGGCATTTATAGTGAAGGCGAGCCAGGTCTCTTGGTCCAGGGAGAGACACTGAAATGGCACTGGAGGGTTGGTTATTAACCTACTGATCACTCTGCTCAGCCGTGACTAAGGATATCATCTCCTGTTCCCAAAGCTCAGAATTAAGGTCTTGGAATCAGAGTCTCTGAGAGTGGAAATGGCAGATTTCAAATAAATTTCACCTTTCACGTTCTGGGTGATTACTGTTTGGCAAAGTTTGAAGGAAGACATAACGGATAATAGTTGAATAATGTACTCAGAACTCATGAGTTCCTGGGCCGTCTCTGTAATTCTCCTGGCTTTTTTTTATGCCATCTTCCTCATGGAGAAGTCTCAGTACATTCAAACGTATGTCTCATGGCACAAATAACTGGAACAAGAAAGAGTAATGAATGGGAATGAGAAGAAGGATTTTTCTGTCCAGAAAGGAAACTGTGCTTTTAAAGGGGTGGGAGACTTTTATAAAAGATTGTCTTTTTTTTTTTTAAGATTTTATTTATTTACTTGACAGATAGAGATAACAAGTAGGCAGAGAGGCAGGCAGAGAGACAGGAGGAAACATGGTCCCTGCTGAGCAGAGAGCCCGATGTGAGGCTCGATCCCAGCACCCTGGGATCATGACCTGAGCCGAAGGCAGAGGCTTTAACCCCCAAGCCACCCAGGCGCCCCTAAAAGATTGCCTTGAGTACTTGATTTTTTTTTCTTTCTTTCTTTCTCGGTCATCAACTTGAGAAATAAACAGTCTATTTCTCCTGTGCTGTGTCACCACATTCAGTTGTTGCTTTAAGAGTAGCTGATTCTCCTACTCACTGGGCAACTCCTGCTGGAAAACACAGTTTAACCAGCAGAGGTAATGCCTTAAGATGTCCTCCCTGACCTTTGTGCCAAAAATAAATCTGTAGTAGTAAGCTGCTGAGGACAACCAGAGTACAAAAAAAAAAAAAAAAAAAAAGATAAATAAAATAAGAAGGGCAAAATATGTTATTTTATCTTTTAAAGCAATTTAAAAATATTTGTAGAAAAGAAGTCATAATTGTTTGAAATATTTTTGGGTCTCCCTGGTGTTATAATGTCAACATTATGCAAGTGAAACATGGAGAGAATTGCAGGCTCCATTTCAGCAACTTTTCCCATGGCTGGTTTTAGACCCTGGTTCTGAGCCAAAGAATTACAGCTGAGATCCTCGGCTGTTCCAGAGTCATGGTGGTTTAATCTCTACTTTCTTCGTTAAGGTGGCTTTCACTCCAAAGGGCTAGGCTTGAGGAATTTAAAAAACCTGTGAAATGAAAAGTATGGCAGAGGCAATCTTATAGAAAATTAAAAATGTGTCCCCAGCTGCGAGACGAGAGCTCAAGTTACATTTAGACTTAGAGGCTCTGCAAAGAGCATCTATTTTCGCTGCTTTGACATTTTAGCTTTGACATAAACCTTTAACTTCATAAGGAGAATGGAGAAGACAACACCATTAACTGGTTTTCTCTTTGCTTTCTGATAGTGTTCTGTTGGCTTTGTCTGTTTGGGAGTAGCAGAGATAAGAAAATGCAGTGGCTTACAGCAAACAATTCACATAGCCGGCCAGTACTTAAACACAGTAATTTAGCAAAGGAAAAAAAATGTCTTTCTCCTCCTTTTTTTTTTTTCTTTTCTCAGTTAGTGGGCTAACCCAAATTCTTTTGGAATATGTGGCTACTCCAGAGTTCTACCTTAAAATGGCCTGGGATTGTTAAGGATGAGTCTGGTGTTTCCATCAGAAGGTATGGAGGAACGTGTTTGAACACGAGCGTGCACACATATGAGTGTGTTTACCAGTTCTGGCCATTTATCTGGTGAGTTCTGCCAAAGTGATCACGTGACATAACACGGCTTGAATCTCAGATGACATTCAGAGGCACTGGGGTTCTTTTTCTGCCAGGTCCGGACTGTAGCCAATTTTTTTTTTTTTAATGTTCTCTCCCATTGTATAAGGCAGACTGAAAATATAGGTAAGAATTTAAAACAAAACAAAACACTCCTATAGTTTTACCAGGCATTCATTTGAATTCAGTTTGGTCGGGGAAGGAGGTGACAATGCGGAATAAGGGATCTGGAAGGTGTGACCTGGTAGAGTCCCCTGGGAGCTGGGAGAGGATGACAGATCTGTATGCTCAGGGAAGGTTGGCACTTGAAGCCTGGAGCAGGGTTTTTCCTGCTGGGGCAGATAAGCGGTTAGAAATACACTGGCCCTGATTGCCCCATGGGCAATTTAATATATACCTAATTAAATTAAATATATGCCTAATTAAATTAATATACACCTAATAAATATACGCCTAATTGCCTCATGGGCAATTTAATGAGAACCCAACGTCAAACAGTGCACCATGGTGTTAGCTCAAGGGTTGTAATAGGTGCTGTCTCTTTGTCTTCCATCCATAGTATTAGTCCCTACACCTGCTCCCATGACCGGTGACATTGTCTCAGGGAGAATTTCTTACTCCCCAATTGGGAATGACCAGCAATGCTTTATTTTCAGAGGGCTTCACAGGGTCAAACTGTCAGCTGGTTACATCAGAACTACTGCTCCTGGGATGATGATTTTAGGGAGAAATGTGCATAAAGAGGAGATAGCTATAAATGCTCTTGAGAGGAGGGCCTATTATAAATTGGGTCATACCTCTGTTATTTTAATCAGTCCACAACTGAGCATCGTCTTTGACTTCCCAACCTAACATGGGAGCACACAGGCCCCTGCCCTGAAGAAGTCCAGTCTCGTTGGGACATGAGAAACTTCTAGAAATTAATGAGAAACTCTATAGCTTTAAGGTCTAAATTATGTAATGAGTACAAGTGGTCATGATGCTCAGAAAAAGAATATATCAAGGTGGACTGGAATAGTTAATTCACATTCAGTGTATTGATTGATTGATTGATTGATGATTGATTTTAGAGCTTTCTGTTTTCAAAGATTCAACTTAGGGCTACAAGGAAAATAGTGATTCTTCCCTCAAGGAATTTAGCATGAGCTAAGGGATCAGGAATCTACACAAAGAATTACCAAAGGAGACAGTGTCCATTAACTATCAAAATAGTGGCCCAAAATACACTGTTTGGGAGGAGGGAGGTGAGGAGAGTCATCTTCTCCTGTAGTGAATCAGGGAGAACTTCCTGAAGGAGGTCAGGGTTATTTCAGCAGACCTAGAATACTAGGTGAAGACTTTAAAAGGCTGAGAAGATCAGGTGACTACAGAAAGGATGCATGTGGTAGATGAACAACATGAACAGAAGCTCGCAGATAGAGCTAGAGGGTGTACGTAGAGAATGGCTTGTTCGGTTACTGAGTTTATACTGTGTACAGGCACTGTACTAGGCAACGAACGGCTCTATTTTACGTATTTGGCATTTGGTAGATATTTTTTTGAGTGCTTACTTTGTAGAAAGCATAGGATTCATTTGGCCAGAGTATGTTGTACGTGAGCACTAGATCTGTAATTACTCACTTTGGAAGTCAACTTAGGTTGCTAGATTTGAGTTAAATTACAGAAGGGCCTACAGATGGCAAAAGCTTTGTGGAAAAGGCAGGTCTTGCTGGGCCTTGGAGAGGGAAGATAGTATTTAGAGAGGAAGAGAAGCGAGAGAAGTATGAGGCATATCCAGCAAGTCATAGTTCTTTCCAAAGTTGTAGGCCAGGCATAAGTGCTTATGATGGAACATTATTTGTGTGTGTGTGTGTGTGTAATATTTACAGATAGCATATATAATATTTGTGTGAAATGGCTATCATATGTGTGTGTGTATATATATACACACATATATATGGCATGGCTTGCAGGCAGAGCACATAATTAGTATTTTATCACTCCAAAGATTAAAAGGTACTACATCCTTCTGTATCTGTCAAGTTAAAAATTTACACTGGGAATAAGATGCCATGTCCTAAAGGAATCAGGATCCTCAAAATAATGTTGTCTCTATATCTTTGAACATTTTTTATAAACCTATGCAAATATATACAGCACTTTTGGGGTTGGGGGGAGCCACCTCTGTTCTTATTGCTAACAGACAGGAAATAATGACCCAGTGGAAGAAACATTATATTAAAAAAAAAAAAAAGCCTTACCCCCTTACAGTGAGGTTGCACAGAGCCCTGACAAGTTGCCAAGACATAGAGGATAGATATCAAGCAAGTATTAGAGTCATGGTTATAGTTGGCAAACAGTCAATGGTGTGCCTATTACATGTTTTCAAGGAGGAATAGTTCTAGTGTTCTCTTCGTACTGGGAGTGAAGAAAACCACCATAGAGCTTTAGATTGCTGTGGTCTTTACTGTCACCAAGAGCAAGAAGAAATCTTTCAGTCTGTTCTCATGCCATGATGGCCTGAATCCGTGTACACCAGCAACCCTGTGTCTCTGAGTCCTTGCAGGATTGCTGACCACTTTGACACTGGAGTTCAGCAACACGTAGCCGGTCAGGTTGAGGAGCCCCTGGCCTTGTCTTTTGGGATGGTGCCCGTGGAGGGGATGAGCACAGACCTTTGCAGGTGGTGGTGACACAACACATTCTTTCGTTGGGTTTTTGTTGAACACTTTCCTGGATTCAAGGATGGGTTTTAAATTTATGTTCCTACCTTTAGAGAGCATGTGGTTTATAGAAAAGAAGACAGACAAGTCAACATAATTCTGATCCCCTTAGGTTATTACAGAGTTTTAAACAGAGTAATAATACTGTTAGGTTTTCACTTTGGAAATAATCCTGGTGGT